TCTCTCTCTCTCTCTCTCTCTCTCTCTCTCTCTCTCTCTCTCTCTCTTCCGTCTAATCACTCATTCACGCGGAAACAATCCATCGTGCAGCGATGGAGCAACACGGCTCATTAGTATCGATCGGTGGTAACGATTCGATCGAGAACGATACGAATCTGTGTATCCTCTCGACGATGGTTTCGAACATCGCGGATGTGTATCGCGGATCTAGTTTAACAGGGGCCAAACGTCTTTGAGTCGGTTCGCTTCAGCTCCGTCTCTCGAAAGACGGGGGACCCTTGACGAGGAGGGTTGCGAGCGTTGAAGGGCGAACGAAAGCTGCCTCCCGGAATTCTCATCGGTGGTGGAGAGGAGGCAGAGAGGAATGCAGAGCGAGAGAGAGAAGGAGTGGGTGGAGGAGGCGGAGGAGGCGGAGAAAGAGGAAGAGGGTGGTGGTCGCGAGGGGCAGCAATCGGGTGGTGAAGAACCCGAGGGAAGGTAGATGCTGCAAGGGCAAGGGGAGCCGAGGCCAGGCGGCGAGGAGCAGGGTGAACGGGGGTTGTAAGCGGCTTACGCCCGCCGAGCGGAGAGCGACTCCTCGCTAATTATTTATAGGACCCTCTCCCCGGCTCTCTCTTCCCGTGCACGAAAGATCCTTTGCCGAGAGGAGTTCTCTCTTCTATCTTACTCCATCCTCTTTCCCCTCTCCTCCTCCATCTTTGATCTTTCCCTCTTTTCTTTTCTCCTTCTTCTTCCTCCTCCTCTTCTTCTTCCTTTCTCTCTCTCTTCCTCTTCCTTTTCCACCGTCCAACCGTCGTCGCACGGCCACGGTCCTTTTTACATCTCTTCGAAATGAGAAAATTTTCGAGAACAACGCGATGCTCCTCTTTCGACTTTTGTTGTTGACCGTCCGTCGAAAAATTTCGAATCAACAATCGAGGCGATATTGACGAATTTTCGTTAAAAATCATCGTAATCCGCGTGTCGATCGCGCGGAAAGGCATTTATTATTCCCTCTTTAATTTCGATCTCCGCGTGATTCGTTGATTATCATATCATTCGAATCGGGATTCCAATTCCCCGTGGAACGTCGATGGAACGTCCATGAAAATCTGGCCATGAAATAGGAGGAGGAAATCTCGCACGTGTGTCCGGCCACGTCCACACGCACAGGCGAGTGTGTGAAACACCGTGGATGGAATCCGTGCCGTGGCGTTCGACCCCATAGCGGCGGAAACCGACGGTCCATTTTTTAGGATTACCTGCGGATACTTCAAGCACACGGAAAGGTCGAGGGTGGCAGACGATCGAGGAGACGCAGACAGAGAGAGAGAGAGAGAGAGATAGAGAGAAGAAAAGAAAAGGGAGATGGGAGGAGGACGGGGAAATAGTGTGTGTCGGTTACTTGGGAGCAAGCCGAATGTTTGGACAGAGGGAGCTTAACAATGCATTCGCGCCCCTTGACTTCCTGCCGGAGCCTCTGATCCCCGCTGCCTGACCGGCAAGTGTAATTGGGTCGAAGCGAGCCGTGGCTTCCGTCAAAAAAAAAGGGAAATCTTACTCTCGCTCGACTTGGCGTGCGATCGGCCGATCCGACTTTCTGCAAAACAGATTCGATCAGCCTATTCGAAGGAATCGTAGCGAAGGAGGAGAATCTCTTTTGAAAAACCTTTTTTTTTTTAGCTGTGCGATAATTGCGTAATCGAGTCTCGAGCGATAGCGAGCGAAATAAATTTTGTAACGATGGAATATCGAAATCGAGTTTGAAAGGTACACGATACGCATACCTTTCAAAGGGAAGATCGGCAAGGGACGAACGCAACAAGGCATCACGAGAGCCTAATCGAGAGAGCGGTCGCATCGATCGAAGTAACGAAGTAACGACGCAAGCGAATTTCCCGTAACGGAGACGGATCTCAGCAATGGAAAAAGATCAAAGCGAGAAAGTCGAGTTGGCCGATGCGCGGACGACGCGCGCCAACTAACCAAGAGTCCTCTCCTCTTTCTCCCAAAATTGAATTTGCGGCGCGGGCGCGATCTCGGGGCCTCGTCGGGATTGATTCGATTTCATCGAGTTTAAAACCGACCGCTTATAGAGGCATTAAACGATCCTCAAAGTGGGAACGGGAAATCTAGTTACGGTTTGCGCGAGTTTGCCTCTTTGATCCCGCCGCCTTCCCCCTATTCTTCCTCGCCTCCACCACCTCCATCCCCCTCCCCCTCCTTCTCTCGTTAGAATATTGCCAATATCTGGTAAAGAATTCTCTCTTCTTCTTACATTTTGCCACTCTCGAACGGTGAAAGACGATCGAACCAGTGATTTTTTCTCGAATAACGCACGACCATATTTCTTCTCGATGCATTCGATGCATTCGAAATTTTCCAGGCAATGGAGGATTTGTCGCGAGACGTCGTCGTGTCGTCGAATTGACGAATAAATTCCGCGCGAAATTATTAAACCGATTGTCGCATCGGCGCGTTTATATTTATACGGATTCCCGTCGTCACATCGCCGCGTCGATGTTGTTGTTCACCGGCCCGATGAAATACGGCAAAACAAGGTGTAAATGGAGTTGGCCGGCAACATTTAACGCGCAACTTTTTCGCCGATACATAATGTATGATTTACACGCTCCCCTTCGTGTGTCAACCGTGTCGGCGACGGTGCAACGGTTGGGCGCAGGTGAAAAATATAATGCGCGTAAACAGTGGAAACGAGTGATACACATTTTCGCGTGATCCTTCGGCGTGGACCGATAGAGAGAAGAAAAAAAAAAAAAACAGATGAAATACAGGTCAAACGGTGTCGAATGTACGGAATGTACGGATGATAATCTCTCGCGAGTTGTTCTCGGATCAACTTTTTTCTTTCTTTCTTCCTTTCTTCTCTCTCTTCTTTTTTTTTTTTTTTTTGTTACCAATCGGAATAACGACGAGTCCGAGACGTGAATAACAGCACGTTCGTTAGACACGTTTGTCGATCGAAGGGGATGCTCGATTTTCTCCTATCATTTCGAAGAAATCGGGAGGGGGAGAATGCGACGAATTCGTGAATCAAACGAGTCGGATAATCCATCTATTCTCTGTTCTCGACGAAATTCGTATAAATGCATGTATATACGTGTGAAATTTTCGTGAATGAAACCGATGGATTTATACGTGTAACGGGCAACCATCTTTGAGGCAAAGTTTGGGTAGGTGTGGCAATAAGGGTATAATGCGAGTATTAAATTGGCATAGACAGGGAGGCTGTTGGAAAAGGGGTAAGAGAGCGGTTTGCAAGGATAGGTAGGTAAGTCGGGGCTTAGCCCGGTGACACAGTAAGCGGAACCAAGCCATGAAGCTTACGGCCGGCTCCGAGTTGTTATAATGGGATCCGGCTAAACGCAAGCCGATTTTAACTCTTCGCCGCAGCACTCGGCCAAGTTCAAGGCCATTGTCTTCGCCACGCTGAAAGTGAACGGTCGACACCCGCAAACCCGTCTAAAATCGTCGTCACTCTCTCTCTCTCTCTCTCCTCTCTCTCTCTCTACTACTACT